TTCCTCTCCTAGGCTTTCTCTCTTTACTACAATAGCACCATCCGACTTTCCTTTATACAGCTCAATTCACATAGCTCCAAGGTAGAAGGTTAAATTCTCACTTTTTTTTTTTCCCTCTTCTGTTATTGTTCCGTTGTATTTTCATTTGTACCATGCTGGATTAGATTTTTTTTGGAAGAGGGTGTGAGAATCAATTAGTTTTATTTCGGTTTTCTATTTGTGTAAAATGTGATATGATTTGTGTAAATGTGAGGGTGTGAGAATCTGCCATTTTTATTTGGGTTTTGATACGATTATCTATTTGTGTAAATGTGATATAGTCTAAGGATTTGAAACTCCAAACAAAGCCCCTTCTCTGCAACCAAGCACATAGCCTTACAAAGAAACCCAGGTAATATTTTATTTTTTTCTTATCAGTCCAGAAACTTTTCTTACTAGTCTTCTCTCTCTATTAATGCATGGGCTACATTCCAGTGTTTGTGAATGCATAGGACACATTCCAAGCTCATCATTGGTTAGTTGCATACATATGTGTCAAAACCCTTTAATAGTAATTCTGTTAACTGTGTCTCTGTATCTAATTTTTTGGCTTGCTAATCAAACATGCACACACTTACCTTTTTTCTCTCTTTCATTTGCAGTATTTTTTTTGGTTCGGCAACCCCATGCTTTGCCATGCAGAAATCTGCAACTGACTAATCATCCTCTAATTTATAGCAATTTTAGTATAATAGAAAAGAATTAGTTTCAACCAAACTATTAAATAGTTCCAAATTGATAAATGAAAATCTTCATCCACTTTTCATGAGATAACATACAAGATAACAAAATTCCAAGAAATTGTTAAGTAATTGAAGCACACAAAAAAAGGGACTCATATCCTGTTGCACTTCCATTATAGAAATGGTCAAATTATTTAGTGAACAATCTTTCAACATGCCCTCATTTGAAGTCATCGTGATTAATCAAGCAATGTATTCACTATGTGTGTATATATAGAGACTAGGAGTCTATGCACACACAAAAAATGTATAATAATCTTGCATGGGTGATTTAAGGATAGTTCAAACCCCAAAAGACAATAAATTAGATGTTTAAATTACATTAGATGTTTACTAAAAATTATTACAGAGAATGATAAGATTGGTGGTTGGCATTTGAAGGGGTAAGATGAAAATAGCAAAGATACACAAAAGAAGAGATTGAGAGATTACAAATATGACAGTTGAAATGTTTGCATAGAAAAAGGCAAAGGGTGAGGTGAGAGATGGACACACATAGATGGACATGAGTGATGACCCATCACTACTGATTGTCCTATATATAATGCAAAGGACTCCCAGATTGGGGACAAACTAATAGACATTCTTGAGGCTCCTTTAGCTTTACCATTCTATGTCAATAACTCAATTTTTTTTTAATGTTTTTTAATTTCCCAATAGTGGCTTCAATGTGTGTATATATAGATACTAGGATTCTATGCACACACAAAAAATGTATAATAATCTTGCTTGGGTGATTTAAGGATAGTTCAAACCCCAAAAGACAATAAATTAGATGTTTAAATTACAAGATTATTACGCTAAAAATTATTACAGAGAATGATAAGATTGGTGGTTGGCATTTGAAGGGGTAAGATGAAAATAACAAAGATACACAGAAGAGGAGATTGAGAGATTACAAATATGATAGTTGCAATGTTTGCATAGAAGAAGGCAAAGGGCGAGGTGAGAGATGGACACACATAGATGGACATGAGTGATGACCCATCACTACTGATTGTTCTATATATAATGCAAAAGACTCCCAGATTGGGGACACACTAATAGACCTTCTTGAGGCTCATTTAGCTTTACCATTCTACTGTTAGATAATGTCTCAATGGGACCACATAATTAAATGTGGTGTTATCATTTATAAGAAGCCTACAATTTAAGTGATTCAATTTAGTTAATAGGCTTAAGGGTATATGTGTTATGGACCTAATGTGTAGATACTAGTTGTATAAGTTCTGAAATTTATGTTTACAATTGGTATCAGAGCATGCATATCATGTGTCATATCAGAATTGATATGCTTTATTCATTCTATTCAGTTTCCTGGAATCAGATTCTAAATTTTCTTATGGATGTAAATTCTATTTTTTCCTGTTTTGTTCTGTGAAAATGGCAATCTGTTTTCTGGAATTGTAAAATGATTCGATGGGCAGTTTTTTTTTTTTTTCTCTCTCTCAAATGGATGAACATCATGTATTTATATATATATAGATATATCTTGCGATTTGATCGGTTTAATTTTGAGCATCATTAAAAAAAGAACACTGCCATTTTTCTTTCTAAATCCTCTCAAGGAGAAACATAAGGCACCAAAGGGGAAAGGATTAGAAGGCAATAACATAATCAATAACAAAGAGTTCATTGATAATCACGCTTCCGTTTAACCGTTTATCAATGGATTCAAATATGTCATTTTGTCTTGATTTCTTGATAATATACATGGTAAATGATCCAAAGTGTAAGGTTTATGTTCTGAAATTTATGTTGACATCTACATCAATAACTCAAATTTTTTTTAATGTTTTTTAATTTCCTAACAGTGGCTTCAAGACCCATTGTTCAATACCAAAATAGAGGTATTTTACATTGTTTCTTGAATTTCCCTTTATTTGCTCTTGATCGCTGTTGTTGGTTGATTATGTTGTTTGGATTTGTTGTTTGAATTCTGAATCTTGAAGGATTTGTTGTTTGGATTTGTTGGTTGATAATATTTTGTATTACTTTTAAGATTTCATATACAACACACAGTGCTTCCCTTTTGCAATAGTCAGCCTTCTATTTGACATGTAACTTTATAGAGATATGTCTAATTTTGGAGTTAATAAGAATGTATTTTGGAGTTGAGCCCATCTCCATAATTAAATAGTGGACGTTTTATTTCTAGACTTTTAAGTCTGTAGAAAATTTGCCAAAAAATTACCAAATAGGTTTTTGTTTTCAAGCTTCTTTTTTTCTCCTTCCTTGAAAGTTCAAACATTGAGTTTGGATGTGCTTTGATTGTTGGAAAACTTTGTTCTTTACCTGCTCGCAAAACTTTTTGCTTTATTGTTGACTGTAAATGAAAGAACAGAACAGCAACTTAAAGATCGCATAAACACATAATTAAACTAAAATATAACTATTTGGGTCTTAATTGAATTTCATTTGAAAACTCGTCTATGTTCTTATAAAGTTTAATTTCAAATCCCTTTATTTAATTGGAAACTCCCATAGCTTATGTGAACTTAGATAGATATTTTTGAGTTTGTTTTATGGTGGGTTACCAAAGCTTAACCATGGTTGTTTGCCTATGCCATTTTCCTGGTATAGAAATAGGGATTTTCAGGTTGAAGGCATAATTTCATCTTTATAATTGATAATTTATTTTTAAGACAAGAAAGGTTGGGATTACAATTATATTAAATTAATAATTGATAATTAATAATTTATTAAATAATATTGAGATTACAATTATATTATAATCTCAATATTATTTATACCTTGCCTTCCAATACGAATATACATTAGTATATATATATTTATCAAATTTAAATATAATAAAAGAATTAACTATAATAAAAGAATTAACTATACGTCGGTGATCGTTATGAAGAAAAGAGACAAATTCCCCCGACGCACTGTTAACATGTGCACAGATTTTGAAATTGAATCTGGGCAGGTAAGTTAGTGGGCAGTTGTGGCCTTGGCTTTTTGGTTGGCTTTTTGTTTTAATTTTTAATTTTTTTGATTGTTTTAATTTAGGATTAAAAAAATTTTATTTGGAATAAAATTTTTAGTTATTTTAATTTTTATGAGACATAAAATAAAATGATTATATTTTGAACGTGATATTTTATTTTATTAACTTTTTAGTCTATTTTGCTTTTTGTAACTATTTTAGTCCAAAATGTTTATGCCAAACATGGTTTTGAAAAAAATTAAAGGAAAGTGAGCAAGGTTCCCATTTTTGGAGACTCTCACCACGTGGACCAATCATGTATTTGTGTTTTTTTTTTTGTCTTCCTAGACCTATCAGTGGAGATTGTGGGGTTGTGTTTTTTAAGGGTCTCAATCATTACTGAAAACTAAAATTTGACTTTTTAATTTGTGTTTTTTTTTTAATACTTTTTTAAATATTTTAAATATTTTTTAAATATATTTAAAAATATTTATCTTAAAATTACATTTCAGAAGTGACTTTTTAATTTTTTTGGGCTAAAATATGGGGCAGACTTGAAGTGTTTGAAGATAAAATTTGAATTTTTACTAAAAATGTATATAAAATGAAAAAGAATCTTTTATGTTTTGCATAATTTACTAATTTTTTTGTGATTTTTTGACTAAATTAACCTACTGCCAAAGGTAAAAAAAATTCAACAATCTATTCTTAAAACATGTGATTCATTTTGAGAAAACTATGATTTGAACATGTAACTATCAATATTTGATTAATTTTATTCAGTATGCTTAGTTTCAATTTTTTAAATTCGGTTTTCTAGAAATTGAGTTTTTTATTTTTCGTTTTTTTTTTGTTTTTAATGAATTTTTTTAAAATTTTAAACAATTTTTTTTACTTGTTTAGATGCACCTCACTTAGATGTATCTAAATAGTAAAATATTTGTGATTTTTTTTTAAAAAAAATTAATAAATACACAACAATATGAAAAATGTATTGAATTTTCATTTTTTTTGTATTTTTTGATATTTAGTGTATTTAAAAAAAATCGTAAATATTATACTTTTTAAATATATTTATTTTAGGTGTGTCTAAAAATGAAAATAAAATCTTAAAATATTAAAAAAAATTATTGAAAATATTAAAATATGAAAAATAAAAAAATAAAATTTTTGAAACTATTTTCTGAAAACCAAAACCAAACAAATTGATTTTTTTTACATTAACTATCTACTTATTATGCCTTACAATTTGAGGATCACTCAAGGAAAAGCTGAATTTTTATTTGTGAATTATTTTTTTGTTTTTGTTTTTTTTTTTGTTTTGGTTTTGTTTTTTGTTTTTAAGAGCCTCAAAAGTCAAAAGCGGGAGCAAACCGTATTGTTTGTTGGTTTATATATGTAAAAGACAGTACATATACCACCATCACCCAAAATCATATAAACCACTACAACCACCAACACCACTAAGCTACCCCCGTTCCATGGAGTATCGACACGTTCATATTCGAGCAGCTTTTCATCATCATCTAAAGTTCTACATCGTCAAGAACCTACTAGAATTGCTCTGCTTTGCAATGCCTATATATAGCTCACCCTAACTCAGCGTTGTTCCTCACATTCAAAACTCAGATAACATTGAAAGAGTGAAGATGGCCAGTTCTAAGGTGATAGCAACTGCATTCTTGGTTCTGTTATTTGTGGACCTCTGCTTTGCCGCTAGACCCCTTAAGTCAGTCTCTGGTAAAGGAGGTGGAGGTGGTGGTGGTAGTGGAGGAGGTGGTGGCGGCGGTGGTGGGTCAGGACTTGGTTCTGGTTCTGGATATGGTTCAGGGTACGGCTTTGGTAGCGGTTCTGGGTATGGTGGTTCTCATGGAGGAGGATACGGTAGTGGCAGAGGTGGTGGTTCTGGGTCTGGTGGTGGTTCCGGTTCTGGGTATGGGTCTGGGAGTGGCTCTGGGTATGGGTCTGGAGGCGGTATAGGAAGTGGTGGCGGTGGCGGAAAAGGTGGAGGGGGAGGTGGTGGTGGAGGTTCGGGACAAGGTTCTGGAAGTGGCTCCGGCTATGGAAGTGGCAGTGGCTCTGGGTATGGAAGCGGTGGTGGTCGTGGTCGTGGTGGTAGCGGCGGTGGCGGCGGTTCTGGATATGGTGCAGGTAGTGGCTCTGGCTATGGTTCGGGATATGGGTCTGGATATGGCAACGGCAATGGACATGATGAGCCATGAATCGTTCGAGTCCATTTCCTTTGAGTAGCAGCACAATCATTGCACATTTGTTACTCTTGAAATAAATTGTAGCACAGTTTCACCATTATATGTGTGTGTGGAGGTTATGGACGTCATATACATGTATCTCTCCCCCAGAATACTGTTATTACAATATTAGAAACATAATATGGTCTCCATCCGAATAGTGATAATATTGGATTGAAATAAAACATTTACTATAACAGGTATAAAACAGTTTCTTTTTAAATTATTCAGGTAAGATGTATTACTGCACAAAATAGAACATAAAATATTTCACAGAACATTCTTTTATCTCACTTTAGGAAGTAGTGGAAAACATTAGAAGTGGGTTACATATAATTTCATTTCTTCTCTCTTTTTTTTTCTCACTCTTAGACATTAATGAGTAGACTGGATGTGTACTTATTGATGTAAGTCTTATTGTTTTGTGTTTAACAGTGAGGAAATAAGGTAATTATGGATAACTAAAGGTAATTAGCCAAAGTAATAACTAAAGGTCATTTTGCACTCTTGAGAAATATTTCTTATAATCTGTTAAAGTCTTCAACAAAAACTTTTGGGTCTTTGGTCTCTCGCCAGAGATTCAATTTTCACTAATCTACCATGTGCCCCAAAAAAAAAACCCACAAAAGGGATATAGAAATTTGAAGGCATATCAGTTTACTGACAAATTTCTGAAGAATGGATGAGAAAACTAGACCAATTACTCCCATCAATCCTCAGAAGCAATAGCAGAAGCTGCGGCAGAAGCAGATGCTACTTTGTGGGATATCATGGCCTCAGCCACACGGATTGCTCTTTGTGACCCTGTGATAGTCACTTTCCTGCCAAACAAGGTACAAGAAAATCAAGATTCATTTGCATGATCATTCAACACACATCCACCAAACAGGAGGTTGATATGGCTGCTGTAAAGTTTTCATACCTATCAGATGTCCCGGACATATAATCCCCTCTATCTGATATCTTGATCCTAGCCCCACTAGCCTGCAAAAATTGAAGAACTCAGTAAACACTTATATTCCCACAAAACAAAAGTTGTGCACAGAAACAAAAATAAATTGAATCCTTTATACGCACCTGACTGACTTCTATCAAGTTTCTTCCACCACGGCCAACAACCACCCCAATATGCTCATCTGCAACACCAAGAGTCACCGAGTTACTCTGATCTCCCTGCAGAACACCAGTACACTTTCAGTTAATCAAACTCTGAGGAAAAAGATTAGTGAATTAGAAAACTTCACATCCAATATGATAGCACAATTAGACAAAGGTGAAGATTTTAGGACACCGGAACACATTCTTGAAGATTTTAGAAAACTTCACAGTCTGGTTGTGTTTCTGTTTTCTTCATTTTCGTGTTTTAAAAAACAAAAACAATGAAAAGTTCGAAAAGGCCACCTTTTTCATTTTTGTTAGAAGGTAACTTTGTTGGGTTTCCTAAGTCATGTTGTTTTCAGAAAATTCCAGTTCACCAAACAAGCTTTCTGTGTTTTCCAGAAAAATGAGAACTGAAAATGAAAACGCAACAAAACAGGCCCTTAACAATTCAAATTTATGAGATTCCAATGAACCATAGCAAAGATGGGACTTCGAAAGCAAACGACCACAGAGCTAGGTCTTTCCATTGCGGAAACAACGGAAGGTGGAACCAGTGGGCCGATGCACATAAGCATGGGCCTTCCTAGAAAAGACATCTCTTGGCATACCATATATATCTTCAGAAAATGTTTTATGATTGCATGCCAAATTCAAATGACGAACTATAAAAACAATCATAAGTACTGTGAATACAACAACATCAGCAATGCCAGCTAACAACAGAATATTCAAGAAAAAATAAACCTTGTCATTCTGTAACTTTCCTCCGGCTCCATTCGGCCCGTAGTTCATTCCATTGTATGCCGCTGTTCCAGCAAAAGGAATCACAGATGAATATGGAATACCATGAAAACCAGCAAATAAAACACCTAAAAAACAAATTGAAGAAAGCTAAGGCGGCTTCAATTTTTCCTTCAATAATTTTGACATGAAATAGTATTAGCTGCCACAGAAAAGTACCTGACATCATGGTTATCAGAATCCCGATCCGGATCTTACGATTCTACGATCTTACGATCCATTTGAGTATAATCGATCCGGATCGTGTAAAAAACTCCTTATAGGTAGGATATTTCGATCCTGGTAGTGGGGTCTTATAGGATCGTGGAATCCCGATCCGAATCCGATCCTATTCGATCCAATTTACAAGCCTTGTTTTGTATTATATGACATATTTTGTTGTAAATTTTATGTTTGTTGTTTAAATACCAATTTATGTTGTCAAAATAAATAATAAAAATTAAGTAGTATTGAATCAAATAGACTAAGAAAAACAAATTAGGAAACAAACATTCAAATATTGTGATAATTTAAGAAAATTAAATAGTCGGAAAAACAAACTTAGCTTTAGCAGAGTCTAAGAAGGGTAAGATGATTGCAACTTTATCCCAATTTCTGGAGAAATTATTTTTGTGAATCGAATCCGCTCCACCAGGGATGCTAACGACAAACCTTATCATTTGACTAAGCTACTCTTTTGAGTTCTTAATCTATTTTCATATCCAATTTTGTTAAATATTTTTTTTCACTTTTCATGCATTATTGTACATTGTAAAGTATTTTGTTATAGAATTCTTCTTCTTCTTCTTCTTCACCTTCTTTTTTGATAAAATACAGAACTTTTACCATCGAGTTTTCTATTGCATAATATTATATGTACATTTTATATGGAGTATTATATTTTTCACAATATCTTCACTTCTTTTTAATAAAATATAGGTTCATTTTGTGTATACTTTATAAGAAATATTTATTTAAATTAAATTATTATGTAATTTGTCTTTTTCGGTAGGATCTTACGATCCTCGATCCGATTCTACGATCCGATCCTATAAGCACCTCCAACGATCCAATGTAGGATCCCGATTTTAACAACCTTGCCTGACATACATATTAGCAATAACTTCTCAAATATTTTTTTTATCAATAGTGCTGAATTACTGATTAATGCACTACTTCATCATATATCTCCTTTCAATTTCTTAAAACACTAACATGAAAGATAAGATGAACAGAGAGTTCGATAATAGACTTTCCTGGAACCTCTAGTCTACTACTAATGTGCTTTCACTAAATTCAAGGTGACTGGATTTTGGAAGGAAAGTACCTCCATGTTTATGATATTAACCACTTAAAAATAAGATAAAAACATTGTTGGGTAAAACAAAGACAAACTTAGTCAGCTATTTCTATGGCCCCGTTTGGTAGAGTTGTGGAAAAGTGATTATAGATTATACCTTAACAAATTATAACTTACAGCTGTGAACATAAGCTGATAACCTGTTTTGTGGATCTGTGAAATTATGGATTTAAGTAGCAGAGTAGTGTTTGGTAAATAAACTGTAAAATAGCTTTTTGCTGTATAATTGTCATTTTTGCCCTTATAAGATATAAAATTTGTGATTTCATTTATAATACATTTTTTTCTTTTTCTTTTTTCATTTTGTTTTATTTTATTTTCATTTTCACCTTATTTTCTTTTCTTTTTTTTTTTAATTTTTTTTCTTCTCTTCTTTCTTTGTTAATATTTTTTAATTTATTAATTCATTAAAATTAATATTCATGTTCTAATTTATATTAGTGTTGTGATTTCATTATATATTATTTTCATATATTCATTTTAATTATTTATATTTGTATTTCTTTTCTTTATTATTATTATTAATTGTAATTTTAGTATAAAAATTATCAATTGCTCATCAATTATTAAAATTAATATCAATTTTTAATTATTATTATTATTATTAATTTGTTCATCAATTATTAAAATTAGTATCAATTTGTATATCAATTATTATTATTATTATTATTATTTTTTTTTCATATTATTATTATTATTCATTTCAATTATTTTTAGTAATATTTCATTTTTTCAATTTTTAGTAATTCATTTATTCATTTGACAAATCCTTTCATTTTTTTCAATTTATATCATTTTTTTAGTGATATTTCATTTTTTCATTTTTAGTAAAATTATTTCATTTTTTCATTATAAATTAATTAGTGTCAATTAATGGATTAATTAGCATCAATTAATATTAAAATTTTTAATTAGTATCAATTAATATAAAATTTATTTCATTAATGGCTAAAATGCTTAATTATTATTATGATTTTTTAATTAAAAAAACACTGAAAACTTCAAAAAAAAAAAAACCAAACAAACAAACAAAACACACTGAAATCCATCGCCGAAGAGAGAATCGCAACCGATCAACGACGAACCAACACCGGACGACAGACTGTCACCATCGATCGATTGTCACCATCGATCGTCACGCAGTCGATTGTGACTCTAGGGTTTCAGATTGCGATCATGATCTGAAAGAGATCTGGTTCGAAGAGATCTGAAAGAGGCGATCGTGACTCTAGGGTTTCACGCAGTCGATCTGGTTAGGGTTTCGATCGAGAAGCTAGGGTTTCGATCCCGAAGCTAGGGTTTCGATCACTAAGAGAGAAAGCACTGGTTCATGAGAGAGAGAGAGAGAGAGAGAGAGCGCACTAATTGGTCTCTCGCCGGAAATCGCCTATGTCTCTCTCTCAGAGAATGAACAGTGATGCTTGGTGGTTTATATAATGGCAACTTGGTAATACTTTAAATTAGTAAAGGGCATTTAAGTAATTTTGCCCCTCAATTTTGTAGCTTCCCGCTTAAGCTGATGAGATAAGCACCCCGAAGGCCACTCAGCCAAAAAGCACTTTTTTGGCTTAATTTAAGCTACAAAAAGTGATTTTAAGTTTTACCAAACACACCAAAACAGCTTAAAATAATCTATAAGTTGACTTAAGCTGCTTATAAGCTCTTCCAAACGGGCCCTATTTTGTATGTGCTCTTAATAGAAAATTGCATGCGCCGGTTTGCATCAAACCAGGCATCTCAACTGCAACTTGACCAGGTTTAAGGGAATGGGATTTGATTTTTATGCAATCCAGACTGTTCTAGTTGATAATATCATATTCATCACATGCAAAATTACAGTAAATTGACCTAGAAGATTTGCTTTTCAATTTTATATGACATAAGTTGTAGAACCCTTCCTGGTGGTGGTTATGTGACCACTTTCCATTTTGAAACATTATCATAAATTGAAAATTCCATCCTCCCTGATTTTCTCTTACCGAGAACACATTTTCACAAACTATACCAAAGATTTGGAGAAGTGTCCTATAAACAGTACTAGCTAGAGGTAATATAAAGCAATTGGTGTTCCATGTAAAAAGAAGCTTCAGACTTTTGCACTGAAAACATATGCCACTTGGCTTGTGCAACTGCATAAAAAATATTCTAGAATCAATATAGAAATATTCAAGTGAGGTAATGTAAAGAAATTCCTGTTCCTTGTAAAGAGAAGTTTCAGACTTCTGCACTGAACATAGGACACTTATGCTCTATTTGATTCATTGGAATGAGATGGAATGGTGATCCCTTGGGCATTCTTATGGGAATGATCATTCCCTTAACATAGTGAAAGATGATTTCATTTGTAATACATTTGTCATTATATTTTAGTCTAACCAAACATGTGAACAAAGACTTTGATAAAATGATCATTCCATCTCAGTTCATTCCAATGAACCAAACACTACCTTAGGGGTGGTTTGGGATGTTCTAAATAAGTGCACTTTTTGAATTTTTATAAAAAAAAAAAAATGTGTAGAAAAGCAGAGAAAGTTGGTAGAAAAATAGAGAGAAGATGTTCATTGATGTGACCCAAATCAGTATATGCATGTAAAAAAAAGTGCACTTTTTTAGTGCATGCCAAACACCTACATAGTTTATAGAATGGGAAATATAAACCTAAATGTTGAGCGAAAGGTCATTGCATAGGTAAAACTTAACAAATAAATAAACCAAACAAACAAAACAAAGACAAAAGAAAGCAAAGCAATGCCATAATAAGTTCTTTGCTTCAGTTGAATTTCAAGACAATTTTATGAAGAAGTGCCTTAAATAGTCACTGGAGCAAACAAAATGGTCCCATCAATAATGCCATCCAAAAATAAACAGATTAAGGGCACCAGTGGCCTATACAAAATTTACAGCTGAAACTAAAATATAAGCATGATTGATTGGCTTAAGCATATCAGTAAAGGAAATCATACCTGCATATGGAAATGGGACACTAAAGGACTGTGCATAATGAGGATCCTCTGCCAATTTCGATAAAATCAAATCAATAGCCCGCATCTGTTCCTCTACAGTACCAGTTAGTGTTACTAGCCTATCATTCAACCCAAGGTAATTGCTATCCTGAGGGGATATCTTAATTCCAGCTTGAGAGTCCTCAATAAACGATCTGCTCAAACAATGTATACAAACATCAGCAGTCAATGCACACCACATTTCTCATTTGCCAAAAAATAAATAACATGAATAATTAAATAACATCGAAATTATTCCACTGCAAATACAGTGAACAGCACACATACTTTATGGTGGAGCCACCCTTCCCAATTATTCCACCGCAGGAGCTATTTGGTACTATTAGTTTAAGTTTTGATCTTGGGTCAACATCATCACCATCATCAACATAAAACTGACCAACAAAAATAAATTTTATTTCAATGGAGAGAGAGAGAGAGTATTCTAAATAACAGCTATGTCATGATGGTTATTACCTCATTTAAAAATTTAGCAAGAATAAGATCCATTGCATTGAGTATCTCATTATGTGATCCAGATACCATAATGATCCTATCAGTTGTTCCTGGAAAAAATTCATGATTGCGTGACAACTGAATCCGTGCTCCAGACTGGGACTGAAAATCATTAATTGTTGAGCCACCCTTCCCAATAACTGAACCAGCTTCAGCATTAGATACAAGGAACCTAATGTATGCGTTCTTCTCTGTAGTTTCTGAAAATGACAATTGTGACAGACCTGACAGCAATTAAATAGAATTAACCTTCTGTTTAAGTAAGCGTCAGACCATTCAAGCATGACTTCATATATAAACGTTTGAGCAAATATTAAAGTTTTGTTGAAGGAGAAAAACACGAAACAACTAGTAGAGAAAGTTATAAAAGAGTAACTAAATGTCATCAATACGTAACTCAAACACTATAACAGCAAGCATCCACTGTATAATCAATAAAATTGGCAATAGCCATGAAGTCACAGGGCATAGGAGTAGCACAATGCTCTCTCATCCACACAATAATTTACAAGTCCAGTGAAACCAAATATATATATATATATATATATGTATGTATGGTTAAACTAACCCCAAGCATCCTAACCAGTATGTTGTCCATGGTATTCAAAAAAAGACAACTCATTTATTCACCTTCCTGATGCTATAAAGAAGTGAAGCAATACAAATATCTCCAAAAAAACAACCAGCATATCACAGGTATGATGCATCTTTAAATGAGCATTGTTTAGAGCACTATCCTCTGTAAAATCATTATTCCATACATGGTGGCCGTCAATCAAACAAATTTTAAGAGAAATTCAGTTAAGTTAGGAACGAGGAAGCATTACCTGAAAAAGAATAAGCATTTTCTATTGTATGCAATACCAGAATCCTAGGGAAGTAATAATAGGATGACAATTTCACAGAAGCGTCACACCTTCAAGGACATTTACTTTGGTGAATGCCATCTAGGAACCTAAATCATGGCATACATTGATATTTCTTGGTTTTTGCAAATTGAATACAGCCTATACCCTGTATTGTTTTGACAGTTTTCTGGAAACAATGAATGCTATCACAAGGGAGGATGCAAAATTGCAAAATGTCCAATTGAGAACCAAAATCCCAGCTTCTCTTATATACAGATATTGTTTTATCCCCTGCAGACTATCCAACATTTTGTGCTCCAACCTTGGGTGAACCTAGACTGAACTAGTTATGCGATGCAGTAAACAGTAAGCCACAGTCAGCTTAGCCTATTTTAAGTAATATGCTTGCCATTTGAAGCAGAAATAGAGCAACGTTTACTTTCAAAATGAATGGAAGTTTTCCAAAATGTCAACAAATGATTGTCAAATGGTAAGGAATGAGTACCATATGAACTTACAAAGATGAAAGCAAGTTTGAATTTCATAAGGAACTCCATAATTCACAATCCATACTATAAATTTCTCCGGAGAACCAAAATGAAGACAAAACTCAGATCAGAAATGCTTAACAAACATTGAATGAAGACACTTGCTTTCAGAATTAATCCAATCAAATCACAGAGAAGCAACACAAAAAATCACATAATTAATCCCAATCCATCATTGACAATCATTTCACCGTCATTTAACCTAACACACCAAATTGCATCAAATACGAACGCTTCTAAGGCTCCAAATCAGGTCAAAAGAAACAAAAACAGAAACCGAATCGAAGTGATACACAATTAAGCAAATTGAAGCACATCGCAATGCCGGATCAAAAAAAACCACAGATCTTCAAGAGAGAGGAGGAAAAAAAAAATCGAACCTCGAGTCGGAGAGTTGCGAGTCGAAGATTGCTTCGGCGAGGCCTCCGGAGACGAAGCGTAGCGAGTATCTGGTGATTCCATTGCTATTTGCTAAAATCTCCGCTGGTATCTATATGTATGTATATATGCGTATAAGTATTTGTGTCGATATATATATAGAGAGAGAGAGAGAGAGAGAGTAATGTTGAATGGCTAGAGAGAGAAGGAGGAGGAGATGAGAAGCATGTGCTGAGCTGTGGAGTTGTATCAGTTTGCTCAGAAGAGCCCCTCTTTCTCTCTCTCTCTCGCTATTTCAGAACCACACCGCCACAATTGTTGTAATTTGTATAGATTTTTTTTACGCGCATTGGATGGGAATTTAGCTAAGGAGGAAGATATATATGAAATCAAGTGGGATATAAATATTTTTTATTTTTTATTTTTTTGACATTTATTAGAAAATTAGTTTGTTTGGTTAAGTTTTTTAAAAGATATTTTTTAGGAAATTTTATTTTTTTATTTTTTAAAATTTTTTTTTTTTTTTTTTTTTTTTTTTTGGGTGAACAAATATGAACTCAAAATTTAAATTGGATTCCGTTAAAAAAAATAAGGTGATCTAAGTAGTTTATATTTTACTATTAAAATATAATCTTTTCACAAGGCAAGTGAGAAAGAGAGAGAAAAGATAGATTATAAGGGTAGTGTTATTTGTTTAAAGACTAAAAAAGAGTTTTTATTTATTTTTTAACAGAACTTTTTTATCCACCTCAGTGATAAACACAACATATTCTTACAATAAATTATATTTTCTAATTTTTACTTTAATTTTATTGTGCATTTATGTCTGAGTAATTTTATAAAATTCATTTAAAAGTCAAAACTAACCAAATCTCTATTTATATTTTGATCTCAAATTTTTAACAATGAATTTGATAAATTACTAGTTATATATCTACCGTTTATGATGCATGGGTCAACTGCTTCTGGCTACTGAGCCTAGTCTCAGTCAGGATTCATTCTCTCTCTCTCTCTCTCTCTCTCTCTCTACACAGACACACACACACACATATATATATATACATATAACATACATATTGCTTCAATTACTAGGGTTAGGCTTCGAGTTTTGTTGATTCAAAGACAAAAATTGCGACATCCATGGCTCAGATTCACGTTCTCGGAGGAACCGTGTTTGCATCGTCGTCATCGTCGTCCTATCTATACGTGCACATAAATATACATATATACATATATTCACATTCTCTTGTTGTTTCGGTTCTCAATGCAGCCATTCTCTTGCTGTTTCTTAAATTCTATGTCAAGATTCATCTTAGGAAGAGAAAGGTTGGTGATTATGATGCCATTAAAAATGGAGATGTAAACATGGACATGGTCAAAGATAAGGATGTTTGAGCGGTGGGTTTTTTTCCCCTCTCTCTCTCTCTAACAATCATTCTCTTGTTGTCTATGTCAAGATGCATCATAGGAAGAGAAAGGTTGGTGATTTTGATGCCATCAAAGATGGAAATGTAAACATGGACACGGTCAAGTATAAGAATTTTTGAGTGGTGGGTTTTTCTCTTCTCTCTCTCTGTCTAACAATCTATCTGAGATCAAGTTTTTATCAATTGTGATTATATATTGATTGACACCATGATCGGAACACTAGACTCATCGAAGCAAATGAGGGAAAATTTTTCTGGTTTGATTAAAATAATTTTCTTTTGATTTAAAATTATGGATAAATATAGAGAAATTTGTACTAAAATTTTTTTAATTTGGTTAAAATAATTTTCTCTGGTTTAAAAGTATTGTGCTAAAATTTTTCTGGTTTGGTTAAAATAATTTTCTCTTGTTTAAAATTGTGAACAAACACAAAGAAATTTGTGCTAAATTTTTTTTTGTTTGATTAAAATTTCTCTGATTTGGTTAAAATATTTTTTTTTTGGTTTAAAATCATTGTGCTAAAATTTTTTTGGTTTAAAATTGTGAACAAATATAGAGAAGTTTGTAAACAAAGCTAGAAAAATTTTCTATGAACACCACCAGAGAAATTTGTGAACAAAGCCAAATAAATTTCAATTTCCGCTCTTGGTTTTGAGAAGAAATCTGATTCCAGTAAAGGTATATTCTTTTGTGTATCTATAAATTTCTCTCTCTGTAGCTCTTTTTTGTGTGGAAACAACAATGGTGTTGGAGGGTTAGTAGTGTTTAGTTCTAATATGCTTTGGTTGTTAGCTAGTGCTTTTGAGGTGTTTCTTTGTTGATAAGTTTGATGCTCAATTTTTTTTGACTTGTTGTTGTCTGAATGTCTTACAGTATAGAGAAAATTGGTCAAAATAAAAATGATAGTTATTCAATTTTATCTAGTTTGATAAAAAAATACAGAGAAAATTATCTAAAGAAAATTAGTCAAAAACATATAGAAATTCTTTGAGAAGTCCAGAGAAATTTGGAGAGAAAATCTTTGGGAGGTTCAGATAAATTCTCTAGGAAGTCCAGAGAAATTGAGAATTTTCTCAGGAGAAAAAATTATTGGGAAGTCCAGAGAAATTCTTTGAGAAGTCTAGAGAAATTAGAATTTTTCTGGAAATAATATCACTAGGAAGTCTAGAGAAATTTTGGAGAGAAAATCTCTGGGAAGTCCAGAGAAATTCTCTGGATTGAATTTTCTCTGAATCGATATTGAGGGACTTTAGACATTATGAAAATATTGAGTATCCTTTATACTATAAAATCTTAATAGCTGGAACCTTAAAAAAAAATTCCGTGTATTTTGAACAGTTAAGAGTATGATACACATTGTTTTATACTCCTTACTAATAGTAATCCATGCGATGTACGAGATTTTAAAAAGCCAATAAATCTTTTAAAAAAAATTATTATCAGATTGTATTTTTTAATATTTTTATTTAGTTTGTATATATAAATCTTATTTCACATCATTAAAAATATTTAATATTTCACATTATTAAATTTTAAAAAAAAACTATCATACATTAAGTAAATCATCATGTAAATAATAGCTAATTTATCTAAGAATTATTTCAGACAATTAAAAGTAGAGTAACAAATGCATATTATAATTAATCAAAATGACTAATATTAAATAAAAGTAATACTAATTTTGTTTAATCAATAGTAGATATTACATTAATCATCCCACATAGTATAATGAATCAAAATAAATTTAATTTTAATTCCCATTATATTTAGTTAGGTGCCGTTTGGCAAGAGAAGTTTGGGCTATTTTAACCACTACCGGACAAAAAGGCTAAATTAGCCAAATAGAGATAAAAGCTTGTCAGGTGCTTGACAACAACCAATGCCAAGGTAAATTTACGAAATTACCCAAACATGAAAGAGGGGCGTCGCCCTCAGCACACACAAAGTAAAAAAAAAAAAACCTTTTCCCCAAAAAAATATTTTCCCAGAAAAAACAAAGAAAGCTGGAAAAAAAAATTAAAACAGAAATTAGCATTTGCGATGTAATTTAAAAATAAATAAAAAACATGAAAAACTATTTTTCAAAAATAAAAATAAATTAATGTATACAAATACAAATAAAAACAAAAATGACAAAAACGTAAATTAAAAAAAAAGAACCACAAAAATACATCTCATCCAAAAAAAAAAAAAAAAAAAACAAAATTAGCATTTTTCACGTAATTTAAAAATAACTAAAACACATAAAAAGTCATTTTTGAAAAATAAAAACAAATTAATGTATACAAATAAAAATAAATTAAGTCAAAAACTTAAATTTTTTAAAAAAAAACCACAAAAATACGCCTCATCCAAAAAATAAAAACAGAAATTAGCATTTGCCACGTAATTTTAAAACAAATAAAACACATGAAAAATCATTTTTGAAAAATGAAAACAAATTAATGTATACAAAAAAAAAAAAAAGAGAGACAAAAACAAAAATTAAAAAAAAAAGAATTCCAATTTAATACCTATAGAAAAGTAGATAAAGTGATTAGAAAAGTAGAGAGAATATGTTAATGATGTGACTTAAATAAGTGTATTTAGGTAAAAAAAAAAAAAAAAAAAGTGCAATGACGCTGACGTGGAGGAAGGACCTTGCTAAGAGTGAAAAACTAAAAACAACAGAAAAAAGTCTTTTCGAAAAAAAATAATCAAGGTCAAACAAATAAGAAAAATAAAAAAAAAACAAAATCAAAATTTATCACGTGCATCGGTGAGTACATTATGGGTTGGTTTGGGAAGTGGGTTAACTTTTTGATTTTTTTGACTATTTTAGCCTGGGCTAAAAAGTCTGATTTGGAAATGATTTTTTTGACTTTTTTTGTGAGAAAATTGTGTAATGATCATAGGTTGAATGTGATATTTTATTTTTATAGCTAAAATAGCTTATTTTATCTTTTGTGACTAAAATAGCCAAATTAACCCTTCCCAAACAGACCTTATGATTTTTGACATAATTTTAAATAAATTACATGAGAAAACATTTTTCCAAAAAAAAACAAACAAGCAAAAAAAATAATAATAAATTAAAAACATAAATCAGCAGTTGCCACATAATTTTAAAATAAAGAAAACACATGAAAAATCAATTTTAAAAACTAAAAAAAAATTAATGTATACAAATAAAAAGAAATTGACAAAAGCGTAAATGGAAAAAAAAAACAGAACCACAAAAATAAACCTCAGCCAACAAAATAAATAAATAAATAAAAACAATTACCATTTGCCACGTAGTTTGAAAAAAATGAAACACAAGAAAACTCATTTTTGAAAAATGAAAACAAATTAAAGTATAGAAATAAAAAAGAAATGACAAAAACGTAAATTAAAAAAAAAACAAAAAAATACGCCTCACCCACAAAAATAAGAAATAAAAAAATAAAAACGTAATTCAGCATTTGCCACGTATTTAAAAATAAATTAAACACATGAAAAATTAAAAAAAAAATGACAAAAACGTAGATTAAAAAAAAGAACAAAATAATGTATACAAAACCCAAAAAAAAAGACAAAAACATAAATTTAAAAAGAAATAAAACCATCAAAAGACGCCTTATACAAAAACATAAATTTAAAAAAAAAATAACAAATGATTAAAAAAGCGCCTTGATTCACAAAACAATAAAAAATAAAGAAAAAAAAAATGAAAAACGGCAAAATGACGCTGACGTGGAGCATCAACGGCAAGGAGTTGAAATGGGTAAATTACTTTAAGGGCAGTTTGGTCGTTTAATATGAAGACACCTCACCAAAAAGTTAAAAAGCTAAAAAAGTTATAAAGTCCTTCCAAAATCAGGCTTTTTAGCCACAGGTTAAATAGCCAAAAAGTCAAAAAACTAAAAAGTCAACCCACTTTCCAAATGACACCTTAGTTGTTTAAAATTTTTT